CACTTGTCGTTGCCACATGCGTCGCTACCGAATGCCCACGCATAGACGAGCCAATCGTTCGCGGTGTCATTCGAACATCCAGTCTGTGAGCCCGCACGGAAATGGAAGAAACAAGATTAATAAAACAGAGATCGCAATATTGCAGTCCGAATATGATTTCTAGGTTGCTTCAAATCGATTAAGATCTCGAAGAGTCTTGCTTATTTCTGAATTTTCTTCGAAAACTAATTCATCGTCGTCAGCTGTTTTATTTGAAATTCTTTGAACATCTCGATATTTACTGACGAAGAATTATTACGTTTCATTCGATCGAGGGACGGGGAAGGTTGACGATGGTACTTTCGCACGTGTTTGCGGTCCCTTTTCACCCCTTATTCCGAGTCTCTCGTAGGAGTTATCGATTACAGCTGGCCTGTCGCGTTAAATACAATTTTCTGGAGTCCCCGGAGAGTGGTGACTCGGAAAGGGCCGCGTTAAATCGAGGATCTTCCCCCTCGGTCGAGATCCCACGTAGCCAGCCAGTAACCGTCGACGGTAAAGGCTGGTCAATTGGTGTGAACGTACTCTGTGAACGCGTCCATTCTGGCTCGTAGCTTGGGAAGAGCCCCTTTAGAAATGTTCCACTGGCAGCGGGCCATCCATTAATACGAATTAGAGTATTTAACTTGGTGAGCGAACGAACCAGGCAACGACGAGGAAGAGAGAAGAGGGAGGAAACGAGGGATAAAGGAGAATGAAAACGCTCGAATCGCGTTCCACGGAAAAGAATTGGCTAAATTGCTACTGTTACCAATTTTTTTTCTTTAAACGCACTCACTCTTTTTTCCCCAAACTCAGTGTATAAAATAAGAATTTTTGTGGTTAGAAGTGTTACTTGTGAAATATTTTATTTGAATGCAATTTAGGAGATGGTACTTGAATTACGCTGAAAGTTTCGAAAATCAACAAACCTGTCTGATCATAATTTATTACTCTAATTTTATGGAGTTTGAATATTTATCACGTTTGAAAAAATTAGGTTTATTATTTTATTAGTTAATTTTCCAATGGAACGAGCAACGGTGCCATCTATCGTAAACTTCGCAGACTATCTCTCGTAATTTATCTTTGTTTCTTGATATCCTCGTTGAATGAAAATGAAAGGAAACGTCAGTTTCATCATCGAGATTTTCATCGGGGAGGATGAATCTCGTTCCCACAATCGCAGCGAATTCGAACGCGATTCGGCTCGTTCCATTGAATAATATGACGGAATTGCAGCTCGTTGCGATCGTCGAGCTGGTAATTTATTTCGCCGTCTAATAAACGTCGCTCGAGGAATCCTCGATAGGTCTGTGTCAACGATTGCGCCAGAAGAATTGCGCCTATTCCCGACGAGGTTAGAAGAGGAGCCTCTTCCTCTCGATGTCGTCATTCTCGAATCGGTTGTACGCGACGAATCGCTTCGTGAAATAACGTCGATGCATCGGTGTCGTCGCTCGTTAGTAGCCGAATACCTGAGAACGATTTATATGCGATGCAACATCCTTGAAACATAGATCAGCTGGTCGCAGACCTAGACCTATGCGTTTGAATAATTCTCAACGTTAGAAATTAGATTAGAAAACTGTCTAAAAGTGATCACTGTAGATACACGATAATAAATCGTTAGGGCCATTTGAATCTCTCGATCTTTCGTTTACGAACAGACTAATCCGATGAACCTAATCGGGCAATCAGGGAATATGTTCTCTGTAAGTAAATGGCGATCAGCTACACTGTAAACCTTATTACTGCAGCATTCGGATGCTTCGTTATCGGTACACGATGAGTCTCCTAAACGTGTTTCAGTGTCTCCTGCTTATCGTGCACTTTCCGCTCGCCAGTATTGCGCTAATAATTGCTCATTTTCATCCACGGATTAAGCGGCTCAGACAATAAGCGGTTTAGCTATGATGCCCGGTTCCTGTTCCTTGTGTCCTCGCTTCTCGTCCCTTCGTGTCTCCACCCTTGTCTCCCTGTCCCTATCCTTCCTACCGCTTCGTCCACTATTGATTCCAGGTTTATTCTTGGCGGGCTGGTCGGTTTGCCGGCGTGAAAACATGGAAAGCGCGGGTGGAGGGTAACGCGTATCAAGACTTTATCGCTCGAGGGTAGCCCTCGTTCCTCAGGATAGCTTAGTCTAGTGTGTTGACATTGGCAAAAGCATTCTGAACGCAAGCTGGTTGATTAAGTTAGGATACTTGGGATCTTTCCATTGTCTTCGAACGATTCTATAGTTCCGTGACCATAATAACGCGTGATTAAGCAATTCTCCTTGCCGCCTTCAATCCACTGTGTTTCAGTTAATTACAATTCGAATGCGGTGATTACACGTCGCCGTTAACATAATCGTACTATCATTAAGCCAGGTATTAGCGCGAATAAAAGCGCGAGACGAACGGGTTGACAGAGTCGGTATAACGAAATGCTTGTTGCGTTAATTAAACCTGGCTGTTTCCTGGATTGCTCCGACAGGAAGTTCTTCCTAAACTCGTCAGATTTGCACGCCAACTCGGATGCTTAGTCGGCGGAATTGTTAGTCAACTCGGGTCGTAAGTGTCCCAACGTGTCTGGAACATGTGACACGTTTGCACGCGTGATCGGTGCGGTTGCGGCTGCGGAACAGTTTAATAAGCTGCGGCGCGAAGGGAGAAACGTTGCTGATATTGCTGGATGGTTGACAGAGTAAATTATGGTAGGCATGGTTGGTGAAAATGAGAAAGACGGGTGTTAAGGTATATTGGATACCTGGAAATTGTTAATTACACTAAGGTCTATTTGGTGCATCGATGAATTTGAAATTGAGTTAGATCAAAGGATGCATTCCTTTGGGTGCATAGGGTGCATAGGGGTTCGAATACAGGGAACATTGCTGCATTAGAATATTTAGAGGAATAATTGGAAGTAATTGGAAGCTCGCTAATGACTTTCTGACTTAATAATAGGGGTAGCGAAAATAGGGGTGTGATACTGCTGTTAGTCCATCTGCGTTCGTCTTCAATACTGCCAGACATGGTGCATCGATCGATCACCAGCTTTTCTACCTTATCCACCTTCTAGTCGATAATGCATCCATCGAGTGAGAAAATCAATCACCGCTATAATTTTCCCTCTTCTTGGTAGAAGAAGTCTGCGTATCATTCGCAAGAATGATATAAACCTCCGTTGGACCCTAAACTCCGACGAGTTTTTTCTTCTTATTCGCAAACAGTAACTACAAGAGTCAATCCAGTCGCCATGGTCCTCTGCTTTCGAAGGGGAAGCGTGCTCTGAATGGTCCCTTGGACTTCGGTTAGTTTCGAAACTAGCCAAGATGGAACAGACCCTCGTTAAAAGGACGGTATGGTTCTCCTCGAGTTTGCTCCTAAAACTAGCTACATCCAGTGACAAGAATGGTTACTTGGAATCCTGGACCGATGGACGATCCGATCGTTCACTGTCGCCTTGGCGACGTTCAATGGATTTTCCACGCGTTCTCATGGGAAATCGGTCGCTTTTCCTTAGACCTACGGTACTTGCAACGAAGCTCGATAAAAAGTCGTCGTTAAACGAGACGACGATGCTCTCGATAAAAAGTTCCTCCTTTTATCGTCCCTGCAGATGGTGTAATTAAATTCAAGGACGATCGTTCCAGCACCGTGATCGTGGCATTAAAATTACGGACACAAAGGAAGTGATAAGGACGGTATATCGGTTGGTTCACGCGAAATTCAACTGCGATTCAATTGCGTTAAATATTTTTTCTTTTTTATAAATATTAGATAGACAGATTTCGCGTTAATAGTAGAGAAATTGGCTAACACAATGACATATTCGAAGGGAGGAAAATTAGGTCGGAGGATCGGGGGAACGTCTGCTCCTTTCATTTCACCTCCTTTGTGAATCAACTTGCTCTTCCCGTGGGAGATAAGGTACGTGGAACGAATCGCGATGATTCTTCGAGGTTACTCGATCCGCTCGTTGGTTCGCGTTCATCGCGAGAACCCTTTTCAAAAGCAGAGATCCTCCACGGGTTTTCATTCTTCGCGCGTCTTTCTGTCGACGGAGCTTCTCTTTCGTCCATTGTTTTCTCGTACAGCCGTCTTGAGCTTTTTATTTTCCTTGGTCCGGCTCGTTAGTCCCGTTTCTATAGCGTTCGGTGCGATGGAAAACTTGAATCGACGAAAAGGGATGATCGTGGGAACGTGTCTTCCTATTTTACGCCTCGTTTCCGAATCTTAGCGTCCGTATACTCCGGCAGAACGTTGTTCCCTCGCGACCCGTAAATCTAATCGATCCACGCGTATTATCCTTACATTTTCTTGAAGTATTTCTTTTTTTTTTTATTTTCTCTATGGAGATTGGATAAGGAAGGGGTTGTTTTGTAGCATGTCGGTAATCGGTGCGCGTGCAACACGCAAAATGATTTACGGCTTGTTCGGTATCGTCCACTTTTAATACCGCTGCCTATCTAGGGTATTTATTTCAGTAAGCAAACGTGAAAAATTCATGCGGGTACAAATCATCGTCTCGTTCGCGCGTACCATTTAAAATGCAAAAGACAAAGTTTACCTTGATGGCCGCCGCGGTCCCGATCTCCTGGAATACATATTTATTTGAGTTTCGCTTACGTAAGAACCGGCCTTCTCGCATCGATTCGGAACACGCTTCGAGCTAGGATAGAGAGAACGTTATGAAATAGAGGCTGAAGAAGCACAAAAGGATCGTCTTTTCGTATAGAGAATTGCTTCTCCTTTCTTCAAAGTAAAGTGTGTTACCCAACTAATCGGCTCCGATGGAACTACGCCAGAATAATCACGATAAATCACTTCTATAACGTCGAAACTTCCTTAATGATAAAGAAATTTAAATAAATACAAAATCTCTGATATCTAAGCACCTTAATATGAATACGGACTCAGGTATATGGACACTTTGATTTTGAAACATACTTATAATATTTGTTTCATTACTAACGAAAGATCTTTCTCTGTTTACAGCACATGGTGCAGACAGGAATGGCTGCGCCCTACGGTGGGGGTGTCTTCCCCCCGCCGGTGAACGGTGTAGCGGGTGTCGTTGGGGCGGCTGGTGCAGCCGGTGAAGTAAAACCACCACCACCGGTGCCTGTTAAAGAGGACAACAGCGGAGCACCCCAACAACCTCCACCTAGTGGACCTCAGGTACCACCACCAGCAGGCGCCCCACATCCAACCGCCCCTGGTGCCCCAACCGCGGCTAGCTTTAGCCCACCCCCGCCTCCAAACGGCGTGGATCAACAGGCTATCGTAAGTGATATTTTTATTCTTCCGATGTGGCATTTTAATTGCAATAACATAACGCTGGTTTAATTACACGCACGTGTGTACGACGACAAAAAAATATGTTGGAAAACATTTTTCAACTCCGTCGGGCGACTTCAAACATTCTGCTTCGTTCGCGAGCAAGCAGTTTGAATTTGTTTGAACACGCGATAGCTCGTCGCGTCGCGTCGGTGTAATTAGCGCGACTCATAAAGCAGTCTAATTAGCCGGGCTAATTAAAGTAATTTCATTCGTTAATTCGATTTACTATACGGGGCTAGATTGCAGACGCGGAAGACCCTTGTTACTTGCTGCCACCGCGTTAATTCTACCGACTCGTGAATTTTTAATTATAGGATTTCTGAATTTTTGAAGGATCTACGCGTTCGATGTTCCGAACACTTTTATACACTTTTGTGAAAGAAAGTTAAATTGCACGGTGTCTTTGATAAGTTTTCAACCGTGTCCGAGTCGTGTTTCCATCTGCCTGCTCATTTCGGTCACTCCTTTATCAGACACATCGGTATTTCGGAATAACAGCAACGGGTTATCGCAAATCGGTCGTAACTAGGGAGTCGGGGCACAGTTTACCGGACGATTGTATCTAATTAACCCGGCTAGGAGAGACTATGCGAGGCATTTCGGACACGGTTGAGCCGAGCGTGAAGAGTTCCGAACAATGTCGTGGTTCCAAACGAGGTGGTTGCTTTGTTCGTCGCTCGTTTGGTCAATTATGCGGTTCTGGTTAGTCAACGGCTCGTGAACCTCCGCTCCGTTCTAGACGCTTTACACTCGAAAATTGTCCGGAACCTAAGCAGATTTTGCGCATCTTCCGATAAATTGAAAGTTCACATTTTCGTGGTCTTTTTTTTTTTCATTTTTATTAAGAAACGAATAATCCAATCGACGAATCAACTATTTCCACTTGCGTCGATGGAAAGGAATTAATAGTCGAACCCTTCGAAGGTCCTCCACCATTTGAATCGAATTACCCGGAGCAGAAGCGCAAATTAAAAGTTCCCTTTCATCCTGACTGGTGCTGTACGAAGCGGTCGCTGAATGGCTGACTCTCGTGATCGTCGCGTCGTTCTTTGACGACGAAAAGCCTTCAGACAATCCAGTTTCATCGGAGGCTCTCGAGTACGTTCCGTTGGCGAACTTTCCCGTCTCGAAAATTTCCATTTGCGGCTCGGTTCTTTGCTGACCGGCCTTCGTTAACCAATACAAAGTCTTGTCTCGAGGGTAGTTGGAGTGTTTTGTGGATTTCAAGCTGTACCACCGAATCCCTACTCGGAAAGGTTCCTGCTCTGAAATCGCGAAAGTTTTGCAACTTTTCTTCACTTTTTTCCTCTTTTACATTCGAAAGAAAAAAAATTTTCAAGATAGACCGAAAGATCGAAGTTGCTGTTGTTGAACGAAATAATTCGAAATTGAATTTTTATTCAAGATAGCGATTAATTTTGTTACTTCTTCATCCTTTGTAACCGATGCCTTCTTGCGACCAGTCGTTTAAAGGAATTGAAGAGGAAACAAATGACCTGCAGTTTAGGGGTACGATAAATTCCTGCCAGGGAAGAGGGAAATTCCTATCGTTCATGTCGTGGACGAGGTTCCTGGATACGGCAGAGAATCTGCAAACATTTCTCTAGGGTTAATAGCTCTGGAACTCTAAATTTCTTGCAGTTTCTAGAAAAAGATGTCACATCTATCTTACTTATCCGCGATAAAACTCCGTTTATACTGGAATAATAAAAAACTCGCTAATTCCCTTCCGGGTGAATCATTTTTCATTTAGATATCAAATCCTCGAGTTTTACTACATTTCATTTTTCCTTCCCATTCGTGCGCACAGAAATAGACTGTTACTTTGAGATGTTAATTCTGGTTAATTAAAAATGACGCATTCTGTTTTCTTGAAATGTTGCGAATAAATATTCAAGAATTCTTACAAACCCCTACGCGATTTCAGGAGACGATAAATTCCTGGCGGAAATGCTTTTTTGTCTGTGTGTATGTTCGCCAGGCTACGGTTCGAGTGGCGTTCGTCGGATCGGAATAATTTCTTCTAATTGGAACGAGTGTTCGACGATCGTGAAATTGTCCCGCGTGGGTAGAAACGAGGAATCAGTGGGAAAGAAAAAAAGCCCAGGAACGGTGCAATTTAGTTCGATTAAACTCGTCGCGATCGACCTCGTTTGCACGTTCGACAGGGATGAAATTTTCGTGTACATCCCTTCTTTCTCTCATACCCCTTTGTCGCTCTGTTATCGCATCCGACGATGCCGAATTTTTTTAATTACTCGCTCCCAACTTCTCCCTTGTACTCGTTCAGTTTTGTTAAAAAAGAAAAATCATTGAAATTTCTAGATCAAAATGAATAGGAAATAAAAAAAAGACATCATTTTTCACATGTAAAATTTATTAAAGTATTCTGACAAACATTCAGTCTTATCATCATTTCTGATGAAAAATCCTTGAAGAATACCGCGGATTGTAAGAAAGTGCGTTGAATGAACGAGGGTGGTCAGGGAACGTGGCTAAAACTGGTAGGGTGAGATCGGCGTCAACTTTGGACGTTGTTCCCGCCTCTTTTGTCACGGAAGCTCGAGGAAAAAGTTTTAATCTCCCGCGGAACAAGCTTGGTAGAATGTGTTTTGTCTGGAAGCGTATCGACGTCGTTCTTCAACCCCTAATCTCCTGCGGTATCACCGAGGGCGGAGAGCTGCGACGATGCTCGATGAATAATTCGTGAGTATCCCACGGCGAGCACTCGTAGACCAGGATCCATTCTGAGCGCGTTATACGCTAGACACGGCATCAAAATTTCATCCCGTCTACCGCACTTTGGACAGAGAAATTCATTCCGATTTCGACGAATCCTCTACCGTCCACCGTACATTCGGTCAGACTCCGAGAAATTCATCGGAGGTGGGTTTCGATGAATCGTCGCGTTTCCAAACTAGCCTTCAGCTTCTAATAGAGGAGAAAGGAGATCCGTTTAGTCGGGGATGAGAAGTAAATTTCGAGGGTGTAACCTTAACGAGGCTTGAACCGCGTTAAGGCCCCGAGCTTTCCAAATTAATCGCATGGAATACCGCGTCTCGTGGCTGGAGAGTTGAAATATTCTCGTTCCGTTAAGTGTTTATTAATAGCGCGCAAAGCTTCTTGTGGGCTCTCGGTTGAAATTGCTTTAGTTCCAGTAGGTGACCAGCTCTAACTAGAGCGATAAAGTTCCGTGGAAGGTACCGCGTTCAGTAGTACAGCCAGAAATTCCACGTACAGCCTGCTGAGTCTGACTATGCACCGTGTGTGTTCACTCGTTAGTGGTACAAACGGGGATATAGTCAGACGTACGGCTGACCACTTACTGTTTACTCTATTTGCGAGTTTACGTACCGTCCGTCTGATTTGATGATCGCGTGTAAATCTTTTTGTATATTTTTCGCACTGAATTTGATTAACAGGAAGAATTATTGAGCAGTGATACGAACAGGATAAAGTCAGCCGCGGGTCTGATCATTTACCGCCTCTTCTACTTAAACTCTTAATTATTCCATGGAAATTTATCGATGAATAATTATTAAAATTTCAAATAAGGATTCTAAAGTTTATCAATTTTATTTTATCAGTCTCGAATATTGATTCGAATTCTGTATTTATCACAATGTATAATTTCCGACGTCAGTCGGAGGTGTTTCAGGCAGCAGTGGCAGCTGCAGCAGCTGCAGCTGCTGGTGGCGGTGGTCAGCAAGCAGCTCCGACGCAAGCCGGAAACGAGACGAACCCCGAAGGTGCCGTCGAAGGCAATGCTTTACCTGTAACTTCCGGCGCGACCACACCAGCAACCGCGACACAGGGTACCGACCTGAAAGGTCAGCCAAAGCGCCTTCACGTCAGCAATATACCTTTCCGTTTCCGTGACCCTGATCTCAGGGCAATGTTTGGGGTAAGTAAACACTTTTGTTCGCCATACGATTCGTTTGACCGAGCACCAGATTACACTTGATTAGTCATTATTTTTTGTCGCTTGATCATGTAGATTGTTGTTTGAATCAATTTCTCGCTGGTAGTTTTGTTACGAATTAAATGTCGCCGATCAATTGTTGCACTGTACTGGGATCGAAGAAAGAATGAATTTGAAATCGTTGAAAATTTTCTTATTCAAGTCGTTACGAAAATTCCTTTTTGCAAATGATCCAAGTCCATTCTTTTTTCGCGCCCACCACAGCAAGTGAAATATTCTCGAGACAACGTTGCTTTCTGTATTCCAGCAATTCGGGCCAATCCTCGACGTGGAAATCATATTTAACGAAAGGGGAAGCAAGGTAAGCTCAAGTCGACCTTAGGCTGCGAGCCACCCCTGTCAACCCACCCCTAAATACGATACAGTTAGATATAAGCCGTACCGAACAGAATTCTCGTCGCCAGGACGAACCCTTGTTTCGCGTTCTCCAATTCGTTATTTTTTTATACCACCCTTCGTTCAACCCTTGTAACACGTTCGGTAAATCATCGCGACGACTTTCTTTATTCGAACTCTTTCAAAAAGGACGTAGAACACGAAAGTTTCGACCAGTAGTTCCTCTGTTGATTGTAACTTTCGCAATTTTCCTCCCTTTCTTTCTTCTCTCTCTTCCCCCAACCCCATACTTCATCCTACCCGCAGAAACGATGGCTCGCAATCATCGCGCGAAGATTTCGCAAGTCGAACGTGACTCGATTTTTCTTTCTCGAACTCGTGACCGTGGAACTTATGGAAAAACTTGGAAGTCGTAGACGCGTCCTGGCCACGAGAAAATCTCGAGGTCGTAATCGTTTCTCGTCGAACGGATGCAACGGCACAAGGATTTCTCTCGCGCAACCGATGAAACTCGATTCCGTGTCGACGAAAGAAGGGACGGACGGCTGGTTTATCCAAGGATGTTCAAGGACGAGAGGGAGAAAATGAAAACTGGGTCGTGACGTTACATCCGTTCGCTCGTATACGTTCTTTTGCAGCGCGATGGCAACGAAAATGTTCGCGTACACTGAGAAAACTACCCCTCCAAGCGTCGTGTAAAAGCGTGACAAGAAGCTTGGTGCCATTGTCGAACAACTTCCTTCCTTATACATTTCGTAAACTGGCTCTATGGTAGCACAGAGTTGCAGTCCGATTCTTGTTCGTATCATCTAGGCAGAAAATCATGATTTTATTCGAATATGTATGATAGAAACGGAGGTTGAAATCGTGTTTGAGAATCGTCCCGAGGAGGTACGCGAAATACTCTTGAAAATCTTTGATGAACGACCAGCTGAGATTGCTTTTCTGCGATTCGAGCATGGACACTCCTTAGTCAGCTCTATCAGACAGTATTTCTCGTGCGTAGATTTCTCTGCGGCCAATAGTGTCCTCGAAGAGGTGATAAAGAGGGTACTCTGACTCCGATATTCGAGCTGGAGCTTTTTTCCCAATAATTCCTGCTACCCCTCAATTTATTCGAATATTTCTCCTAGAAATGTTCTGTTTGCAATTCTCCACGATTTTTGTTCTAATTTCTTTTCTACATCGATCTAGAATATCTTTTTCAATCGTTCGCATCTCAAGTTCTTTGAGTCGAGTAATGTACAGTGAAATGCAACTCTAATGATCGTTAATGAAAATCAGAGATTCAATGTGAATAGAAAAAAGGATGAGGGGAGGGTAGGTGCGGAAGAGTTTGAAATGCAAATAGGTTTCAATATGGATGACAGCGGTCTGGATAAGATCCGCAGTAATACATCGTGCCGACAGCCGGCATCCGGTGAGCTTGCATATTCAGCGTCTTTGCGTCAAGCACACTCAAGTGCACTTCATCAAGCTTCCGTGGTACCGGTAACCCAATAACATCGGCTGCTGACGACGTCACGCACGTTCGTCCATTGTCCAGTCGATGATGATCGAGTCTCCAATCCTTCTCGACTAATTTATCAGCTACGAGTGATCTATCAATTATTTCGTTCAGACGTTTTCGAGCTTCTTTTTTGTAGAAATTCATCGCGAGAATCGGAGGATCAATTCTCTTACTACAATTCGTTTGACAGAAATCAGCAGTGTCATTAGGGTATTTGTTCGATGTAAAATTAATTTTTTTAAATTTAAATTGGTAGGATTTTTCACGAAGACGTAAAATCATAACACAAACTTGCGACTGTTAAAATGTTAACACCCTGAAAGATTACTGTAATGCTCGCGAAACTTTAGGAATATTTTCCTTCTGGACAGGGCTTAAAGTAAACCTCAAACAGTATTAACTCTTCCTATTTGTCAAGCTTAATTTTCAAGCTGCGTTTACATTTCTGCTTTGCCTGAAATGGTGACGCAAGGGTAAGCTAATCAGTTTATCCCGTCCCTAACTCTAATACTAACTGAACTTCCCTGTCTAACCAGTCCCAGGAGCTTCAGAACATTCTATTTCTCTTAGAAATTCAAAAATTCCCGTCCGATTAGACTCTAATAGCGAAATAATCTTCGAACTTTTTCATCGCGATACCTGTAATAAGAAACTTGGCTGTTTGAGAGAGAATTTAAGAGAACGGGATGCAACGAACGCAATATACATTCGACTATGAAACGGGAAGTTCCCGAAGGGTTAATTCGCCTCGCCAGGCACCCCTCATTGTCCTTCGCGCGATAAAACTTGGCAAAGTTCATCGAGATTACGAAATCGCGTGGAAAGTTTCGCTTTGCAACATCGACGAGCGAAGGATATCGGGTAAAAGGTCTTCCAGACGTGATTTTCTCCAGGCCGGGCGATATAATTAGATCAGAAATCCATTATTTCGAGCAACTCCATTCGCGAGCGATGATTTCTCGAGACACCGTCGACGAGTTCTCAGCTATTCGGGACGCTGGACGAGTACCTTCATCAACGAAAAGTTTCTAGTTTGCATATTCAGCGGATCTCTTCCATTTCTCGTCACGAATATTATAATACATATCGTTACAACTCTAGTGTTCAGCTCTAATCTCCAAGTTTTCTCTTCGTTCCGAGCTTAATTGGAGTCTTCATTTACAACGAATTAGTATCAAGATACGATCATTTGTTATTCGATCGAAATAGTAAATTAAAATCGTGGAAAATAGAACGTAGGATGAGGATGACTGTCCGCTATTAGAGTGATAATAAAGGGGTCTATTTCGATCGTGCAATCCTGACAGGAAGTCTAGCTCAAGTCACATCCGTCGCTTGAACAGCCAATCCAAAGTGGAAATAGCTGTTACGATTAGAACCGTCCGGAAGGGAATTAATTAAACTCGTTGCTGATGGTTATCCGTCGTCAGTGATTGTCCTGAATTTGTGAAATGCACTTCTTCTTTGATACAATAAAATCATTTTCAACTCTTGTTACCATTTCTCAAGGACCGATTTAAAATAACGTCGTTCTTTTTGAACGATCCTGTATACAGAGGAAGAAAACGATTGGAATGGGGAAAAGCCGATAAATCACAGTAGAATCGACCTCGGTACTGCGTATAATACCAAATAGAATGGCGACATTCATCACGCGTGATAGACCCTAGGCCGACGTCGACAATGGCACCTCAGCAAACGCACCTTTTGCATTGCAAAACACTCGTCGCCCCGTGTGAAATACGCGGCAACGATACGTTGCCATCGCTTTTTAGCATTTAAGCGATCGCCGCGAACGTGACGGTGATCCCCGCGGAATCCGCACGCTATTACCAGAAACAAACGTAACCGCGTGCAAAGGAAAGCACTTGTTTAAAGAGAAAACTGAAGGAAAAATAAAAGAAACTTTAGAAACGATCGATGATCCCGTCACGGACGCTAGTTACTCGTATTTTCCACGCTTTTCCGACGAAACGACGTACGATGATTCGATTTCATCGATGAATTTCGAAGAAATCCGAAGAGGCTTGCGACGTGTTCGTCGGAAATGGCGTGTTTGATCCGGTGCAGACTAATGATTTTTCATTAGCTTTTGAAAATTGAAAATTATTGAGATGGTAAAATGGTGATGCGACCAGGGTGTCGTGTCACGACGAGGAGATATTTTATTCTAATTTTAATAATCAACAAAATCGCTCGTTTGCACCGGATATTAGAAATAAGGTGAGCGAGAGAGTGTGTGTGCGATGAGAGTCTGTGAGAGAGACCTTTTCTCGAAAGCTTCGTCAATGTAAATGGAATGTGGCATCCCTAATGAAGTGCAGCATTTTGGAGAAGAGATATTTTGAAACCAGCGCGGAGGAGCGTACTAATCGCGTTGCCAAATTATTTCATTAATTAAGAATTTATTCGTCCTTACGTAGTTCGATCGGAATCGATCGTCGTGCGCATTGAAAATTTGATCGATCGAAAAAATGGCACACGGTAAGCACACTTTTCCCGCGCTGAGTATGTGCCAGTGACACGTACATACATATACCATATAATATAACCAATGGTGTTAGTTCTCGTAGTTGTTAGACGAGCTATTGCATTTTTATTAGCTAGCATTATCGCATTTTATCATTATTTAGCTCCCATTGGTTATAAGGCAGAGCTCGGTGCACCTTGCGTAACTGTGTGTTCGCGGCTGCTTTTGACGAACTGTCGTACCAAAAAATAACTAAAACAGTATTCCATTCCTCCTTACATAATCACCTGTGATACCCATTTGCTCCTTGTACAGTTCAGTAAAGAAAAAAAAAAGAAAAGAAAAGAAAAGAACGAAGAAAGATATTAAAAATGGCAGCTGAAACATCTCAAAAATCTTCTCTCGTGTTTATCGATGAACTCGATCGGGTTAGATGATTTTTTTTTCTTTTTTTTTTTTAAATGGACGCAGCAGCGGACACACGGTGCACCCGGTGAGCCGACTGCCGCCACTTCCGGTCGCGGAGGAGACCCTCGCGGGAGATGCTGCCCATTTGATTTGATGAAACTTTTTGTCACACCTCGTTTTCTTCCGAAGCTACGACTCTAACCAAAAACCTCCATTCTTGTCCTTCTTCTCTTTCTCTCTCTCTCTCTCTCTCTTTCTCTCTCTGACGAGTTTCCCCAAGGCGTTTCAAGGCCCGTACATTACACATACACGAACCACACGAGTAACACACGCGCGATTAATAAAACAACAGGAAAGAGGAAACTAGAGTAGACTAACCAAAGTATCGACTTGCCTGTCTGATCGATCTCTCAGACGAATTATCGAATTTCTCCGGAGATTTATCTTCGCGTGTCGCGAATCTTTTAACTAATCCACCTGCAGACACGTTGGATTGTAACGGATGAGATACTGGTCTCGTTTTTTTAAATTTTTTAAACATCTTCTCGATTTTCAAGTAGAATTGTCTAAGTTAAAG